GATGCTCTGCAGTGAATGGGTGCCGTCAGAATGAGAGTCCAAACAGCTGATAGAAACATCACAATAATCCTCAAGTAATCAATTAACATCATGTGAAGGCAAAAGCTGCATGTTTGTAAGAAACAAATCCATCATCAATGCATTTTTAACTTGGATAGAGAGTCTTCTATACATGATGTTTTCTCCAGTGAAAAAGTGGTCTGGTCTGAATCGCGAGAGAAATCTGCACAGATCAAGCATCGTTTACAAGCAAAAACAGTCCAAACAGCTCTAAACAAATATGTGGATGGATTTTGATGTGAGAGACAACAGGAGATGGACTTTTTCAGCAGAGGATTTATGGATTCATATGGACTCATATTTTGGCCAGAAGCAACAGTATAAAGTTAAAACGCCTGGGTTTGTTTCTAACAAGGCATTAACTGATGGACTGGAGTGGTGTGGATTACTTGAGGACTATTGTGATGTTTTTATCAGCTGTTTGGACTCTCATTCTGACGGCACCCATTCACTGCAGAGTATATTGCGTATATTGGTGAGTATATTTTCAGCAAATTTTCATTTTTGGTTGAATTATTCCTTTAAAGCTAAGAACTTTACTTCCCTGCACTGTTTTTTGCTGCATACATGATATCTAAAATTGTGCAGCTTGATTTGACTTCTGGTTTACTTTTGTTTGCAAATGTTCTGTATAAATCTTGATTCAAACTTTCAGCTTCATTTTCAATCTAAGGAAGCCACAAACAAGCAGTTTTTCTTTCGGTTTCTTTACTTGATTTCTTTTCCCCTCAGTTATTTGCAGGCAGTTCAGTATGTTTTATCCCCATGCTTTCCTCGGCTTAATGTTTCCGTATTCCCAAGTTTTTCGTGCGATTCTCTCCAGACATGGAAAATCAGAGGGGAACAAACCAGCATGAGTGATTTCCTGCATGTTTCTCTGATCTGAATGGCTTTGCTCTGGGAACATCCATTCAAACGAGAGTCAAGTTTCTTTCAGTAGTGCTTCCCAGTTCGCCCAAATCCATCAGATCTGGATGCACTGGCAGGCAGATGTTTGTGTCTGTGTACAGTAGAAGTCATGTTTTTTTGCGTCTGTGTGTTCTTGTGATTAGCAGTGCTCTGTAAACCCCCGGATAAAGAGGTCGCAGATGTTCCCGTGCCGATGACTATGCTCCCGTCGCCACCGATCCCGCCGACCACGCCGTCTGTGGAGGAGCTGATCCACGAGAGTCAAGTTTCTTTCAGTAGTGCTTCCCAGTTCGCCCAAATCCATCAGATCTGGATGCACTGGCAGGCAGATGTTTGTGTCTGTGTACAGTAGAAGTCATGTTTTTTTGCGTCTGTGTGTTCTTGTGATTAGCACTGCTCTGTAAACCCCCGGATAAAGAGGTCGCAGATGTTCCCACGGCGATGACGATGCTCCCGCCGCCGATCCCGCTGACCACACCGTCTGTGGAGGAGCTGATCCAGCAGAGCCAGTGGAACCTCCAGCAGCAGGAGAAACACCTGCTCAGCCTCAGACAGGTGCATTAAAATCTTTTGCGCACAAAAGTTTTGACCCCCTCAATGAAAAGTCTATGGGACTTTGTGTAATTTTGATGGTCCATTTATCTTCTGCGCACCAGAGCTGCATTTATTTGATCAAAAAATACAGTGATATTGTGAAATACAACTCAAAAGAACTGTTTTCTGTTTAAATATATTATGTTGGCTTGACTACTATTAAATCTACTATCTACTATTTAAACTGCTGCTTCATCTTCTTCTGAGACTAAATTTAGTAGTAAGCTAAAACCACCAAACTTGGGTCAGACCTTCAGACTGCTGTCAAGTCAAGTCACCTTTATTTATATAGCGCTTTTAAAGGGGTGGTTCACTGTTTTTTTTCTAGGCTTGATTGTGTTTATGGGGTGCAGTCTGACGTGTTAATGCTTCGTTTTAAAAAAAAAAACGTATTATTTTTTACATAATTTACCTTTATTCCACACCGCTCTGTCCCTTCTCGGAGAAACGGGCTGATATTTTCCTGTTTTTATGAAGCCCCGCCCTCAGAAATAGGCGATGGGCTCTGATTGGTTAGCTAGCCCAGTATGTTGTGATTGGCTAAACCACCTCTAGTGCGCGTCTAACCGTCCCGCCCCTCACCTCAGCGGCATGTGCTCCGGTTGTATTGTAAATGACGGTGTCGTTAATATCGCTTATCAGTTTGAGCCCGATTGAGATGCAGAGGATATTATTGAAGAGGATCATGCAGAACCTGTGCAAGCATGGCTTTTAATGGTAGACCTATGTTTTTTGTTTGTGAATGCTACTGCTTATGTAAGCTTTTAATATACGTTTTTATCCTGATTAAAGCTTTAATACAGTACGGCAACTGAACGCGCGGTTTTTGTAGGCATTAAACTGCCAGAATTTTAAAAGACGATATCTCCGTTTGCATTGAACTTTCAGCTTCGTAAATTTGCAGATATTGTCTGTTCAAACCGCAACATTACACACTAACTAACGTTAAAAAAGTGAAATCGCATTTAACCACCCCTTTAACAATACAGATTGTGTCAAAGCAACTTTACAGTATCAAATAGGAAAATAGTGTGTCAATGCTAGGGGTGGGAATCTTTAGTCACCTCACGAACCGATCCCTATTCTGGGAGTCACAATCCGGTTCCAGAATGATTATTGATCTACTTTCTCCCCCTTATTATTTGATTAGTTAACCGACTTGAGAATCTTAAAATCCTTACATTTACATATCCTTACATAAGTAATTAAGTACTTTTTAAAATAATTACAAATTGAAAAGAAAATATTAAAACAGTTGTATGTTAAGAATTTGAAACGAATATAACTTCAAAACATACAAGCAAGTAGCAAATAATGGGAGATCTATTAAGCTGCATTCACGCACAGATCTCTTTTGAAATATAAGAAGTAATGTGGTTTGTCCTGTCCGTTTAATCCCTTAAGACATAACTGGCTGTGTTTACATTAATGTTGCCTCATAAAACCATTTTGAGACGCAAGTGAATTTAAACCACTTAAAAGATTATTTTACAGAAGGTTCGAGTGGTGTATGTATGTGAGGAATTGGAAGCAAGCAGAATACAGGTGTTTCAAAGCAAACTCAGCGTCATCGCGCATCTGGTTAAAAACTAAGCTCAGAATCGATTCTGAAATTCTGAGAAACGATCCAGAATCGTTAGAGAGAGAGAATCGCGATGCATCGATTTTTTTCTCCCACCCCTAAAAAGGACAATAGAAAACAATCAATTTTCAGTTAAATGCAGTTCATCATTGAATTCAGTGATGTCATCGTCTAGCTCAGTTCAGTTTAAGTAGTATCTGTGCAATCAAGTCGACAATATCGCTGGAAATTAAGTGTCCCCAACTAAGCAAGCCAGAGGTGACAGC